TGTCGATATGTAACGGATTATATTAATAGGTATTAACAAGTATAATTCAAGCGATGGAACGCATCTGCCTAAAAACCAGGGATTTGATTACGTTGGAACGAATCTGCCTTTTACGATGGCGTGGCCTTGTGACGTGAACAAAGTGAGTCTGCCATGTACATGCACGTGTGCGTGCGCGCGTGTACTATATATGTATATCGAGGTTGAATTGACTGGGACAAAATGCTTATGGGTACTATCGTTGAGCATGATTTGGTCGTCATGGGGTAAACAACAGGCAGGTGGTGAAACCAGAGTAACCTCTAGACAAATTTATGGGCAAAATCTAAGTCTCATCTCGACTTAAGCGGAGCTGACGAACGCGGGATAACCCGTGACTCACATGCAAAGTCACACGTTCTGCCGAAAGACATATCAAATACCAGAGATGTATTAATTGTAAACTCTAAAAATAAACTGGTCAAAAATGATTATAAACTTATCAAATTTGATTAGAATGCCGCATCCGACGGGGACATACTAGAACCTAATCAAAATAATACGGGAACTCTAATCAAATATATGATGCAGAGATTCAATGATATGATTAGTTTACTAGTTAATTTGAAAAGCTCTTCAAATTTAATCAAAGATATTCCTTATGTGGCTAAATTCAAACAAAGTGCATACTATCAGGAGTAGATAATAGGGAATTATTAGGGAATAATTCCCTATTATCTACTCCTGATACTATATGTACAAATAAGAGAACTTGAATAATGCACATAGACTATTGTTGTTTTTATGTGGTGTCGGTGCGAATGCGCACGCGCGCGTATCATATAAAACTGTTTATAGTTATATATTATGTGTTATACAAAGGCGAAGAATGACTGGCGAAGGTATTCACTAGGTAGTTAATTCCGGCATATATTAATGAGTTAATTAGTGAACGTTTATTAACAGGTACACATGGCAGCCCCTGACACTGACCGGTGCTTTCTGTACGAAGGCGACCGCGTAGTTCAGCAGCCTATAGACACGCACTTCATGACGGGCGCGATAGTGCGCGACGCTGTGGAATTCATCCGGAGCAACGCCGATGGAACGCCATTCTTCCTTTACTACCCCATGACGCAGACACACACGGACCTGGGCGTGATGCCGCGGTTTAAAGGCGTGTCGAAAAACGGTAGTTTTTGCTACTATATCCGCGCGCTTTGCACGCATTTTTTTGCACTTCCTATAAGATGCTACTCCGGTCCCGTGTGTGCTTGGTGCTACCAGTCATGTGTGTGGTACAATGTAGGTGAGACTGCGATCAAGAATGTCGCACGAACTTGACTGAAAAATGAAAATGTCAATGACACTGTAGCTCACTCCGGCCTGAGTAGTGGGTCAGTTTTTTGACCTCGCGTACATTATGAAACGAAGAGCTATATATGGGAAGAACTGCCCATATATAATCTTATAATATATATATACGCTCTGAAATTATATGTGTAATTTTATGTGAAAATAATAAATAATATTAATATAAACTTATACATAAATTTATAACCAAAAGGAATCACAATTTGGCGAGTAGATGGCGTATAACCGTTGTGTTCTTAGCATAAATTATTATATCAATAATAATAAATAATATAATAATAATAAAAAAAATAATAATAATAATATAGTATAAATCATAATATGTCATAGCAGGAAATTTTGCATAAAGAATTGTCAATGAAATCTTGTAAAAACGAACCAGACGAAGTTTGCATGAATACACAGACTGTTGTTATGTGCGTGTCTATATAATATGCTATATAATTGCCAAACCTCTACCAATTTTGGCATAAAAAAATATTATTTCATTTCAATTCACATAACCAAAATAAGCAAAATCCGTTGAACCTGAACTGACTAATGGCAATTCCATTTTTGCCAAAATAATTGCCGCTGGCTCGAAAGTACGGTCGACTGGCGTGCTCCAAAAATAGGACGTTTAATATGGCGAGCATAGCAGTAACAACTATACCCATTCAAAGCATGTGGGTCAAACGTTTCCTTGAGTTATCGTGACCGTAGCTAAATGTGACGGACGGACGGACGGACGGACGTACGACGGACGACGACCCATGGCCAAAAAAAAATTAAAAAAAGCCCTTTTTTTTTTCAGCCTGAAAAAAAAAAAGATGTCAAGGTGAGCTAATGAACTAGAAACTTGAAAAATACCGGCACAGTTTAACACTAACGGCGAACAGCAAAAATATTTACCGGCAGCATATAACAATCGTGTTGGCAGGAGGTATGGTAGACAACGTCGCCGAAATGGCAGTGGCAGTTGGAGAATTCTTGAATGCGCTCGAGAGGAAGCGCTGGAGAAAAACACACTGTGAATTTTCACATCAGATAAACGGACCGCAGCCTGGAGCCTTGTAAGAGTCAGGATGGGCGGGAATCTTGAAGTGAGCACAGCTGAAGAATAATTATCAAATGCGAGTGAACCTTCATAGATAGAAAATCTCTCACATTTATGCTAAATATTAAATCAAAATGAGAAAAGGAACAGCGATATGTAAAGAAGGAGTGGGATAGTGAAAGAGCGAGAGTGGCAGAGAGATAAACAGAGACGGCGAAAGAGCACGAGGGTGAGCAGCGTGAGAGGAAGAGAGAGAAGAAAAAAAAAGAGAGCGAGAGAGAGAGGCGAGAGCGTGGAAAGAATATACTCATAAAACTCTGGGAATGATTGTTTTAGGGAGGAAAGGGTCAAACGTGGGATGGAGGAGTTAGGGTGCCAGGTATTGCCTGGTGGCCAGGAACAATCACACCAGGCAGAACATCAAAGGTTGTCCTAAGTGTAACGGACTTGCTGCCAACATTTGCAAACCTAGCAGGAATTAAGCTACCCGATGACAGGATTATAGACGGTACAAAAATCCTATATTATAGACGGTATATATATATATATATATATATATATATTATTTATTTATTAAGAAAAACGTGTCAACATGTCATTCCTATTTAGACCGCTTGTTTCTGGATTCTACTTGAGTATGCAAGAAACATGTCACGAAGGTGATCGTTAACCGTTGTTTATTTGCAGGGAAAAGTTTCCATAGGGTGCTACTCGGAGAGCACACAGCAAAGGTTCATGATATATTGTACTTCTACTGCGACGAGAGGATCATGGCAGTACGCTACGGCGACTTCAAGATACACTTTTACACCCAGGCGGTTATTCAAACAGAGCATTACACGAACGAGAGAAACTGCGTAAATGGTGTCCCTCAGAAAGCATTGCTGTTTACTTGCAAGGATTGCGACTCGCCATGCGTGACTGCACACATACCACCATTGATTTACAATATTGAGAATGATCCAAGCGAAAAGTTTTCGCTACCCGCCCACAACTACGAAGACGTGCTCAGAAACGTAAGCCGCCTAATGGCGGCTCACTCGCGAACACTTACGGGGATAAATAAGAGAGCATCGGAGTTGGCTAAGCCCATGTCTGATGCAGTTGTAACGTGCTGCGATCCGCCCGCTTGCAATTGTAACTACCCTGGTCAGACTGGCAAATCCAGGTCGAACTATTAAAAAAAGAGTAATGAAATTCGTAGTGCAATCGTTAATGCCAACAATGAAAACGCTTCAATGCAAAAAACCCAACCTTTAGTTGCGCTGATTATTTCATTATTGATGGTAAATATACCCATCACTGCGAGTTAGAGTATATATACGGAACGATGGTAACATTACCTAACTATGGAAAAAGTAATTTATTAACAATTATGTAGCTATAAGGTTCTGCCATGTGATTGTCTTTAGGTGCAATTCAACAAATAAAACAAGATTTCGCGTGTCATCTCGACAGTTTTAATGTTCTGTGTTTGTTCACTGCTTCACTGACGCCACGGCCTCACAAACTCACATGCTCTCTGATAGATTTATCTACAAGTCTTGTTAACATATGCCTGCTGTCTGGTTAGCCAACCATCACTGATGCACAAATAATGTCTCTCTGGATGTACATGAAAGCAGTGTAACGATGGTTCCATATTATTCCAAGTAAATTTGTCAATATATATATATATATATATATATACATATGTATATTCCTATTTCACTGAGGTCCACTCAGGTCCATTCCTATTCACTGAGGTCCATTCCAGTGAGGTCTATACTGATTATTATCTAAATCAATGTTATATAAATCTATGCGGGCACTGGTTAACTCGACCCACCCGCAAACTCGGCTCGACACATGGGTCGAGTTTGCCGGCGAGGCGAGTTGACTACGGACGATCTATGCTAGAATAACTCTTCTTCATTTTAAATGCCTAATTTTCGCAAAATATTCTTCTTCTCGGGAGATATTACGTATGCGCAAGCACCGTTTCAGACGTGCAGTACGGACTGAAGAAAACTTGCTGTGAGAGAGAGGGGTGGGAGACAGCGATAGGGAAGATAGCTGAGTGCGGTAGCAGAAGAAGAGGCTGAGCGAGGGACAAGGGAGGCAAGGGGAGGGACGGCAGAGGATGAAGTAGGAGTTGTGTACCCTACAGGCTAGGGCGCTCTCCCAATTATGAACACAGGTCTACTGATAACAATTTATTACATAAATCTATGAGGAGATTTCCCCATCACCATATTAAATTCATATTCATTACATAATATAACTTCTCTAGTGAGATATTGCGCGATATATGCGCAAGACCTTACATGCAAGGACTTCTTCCTATATCTTAAATGAGGTAAACTGATGGAATGTTATCACATAATCTATGCTAGAATTCCTCCTCTTAACTTTAAATGCCTAATTTTTGCAAAATATTCTTGTTCCTCGGAGATATTGCGCATGTGCGATCACTGTTTCAGGCGCGCAGTACGGACTGAATACAACAGGTTATTATTGCTTTGTGAGATCTGAGAGAGAGAGAGGGGGTGGGAAAATGAGAAAAACTTCAGAGGAGATAGCTGAGGAGCAATGGAAGAAGAGGGGACTGAGTGAAGGACAATGGAGGCAATGGGAACGACGGAGACGGTATGAAGTAGGAGTTTTGCACACTACAGACTAGTACTCTTGGCAGTAAACGACGACTGACGTGCGAGAGCCATTGTTTGTACATTAGCATAGGCGGGCAATCGTAGCGAGGTGCTGCGAGCATAGTGAATTTTATAGATCGGATTTTACCATGCACACGTGCCGTCGGCTCGCCCGCGACCAGTTTGAACGTATGAGAACGGCCGAAGAAAATGATCTTGGCAGTCAACGGTGTCCGCGTACGGGCGCCATCTTTATGTATATTAGCATATGCGGAACCCAGAACGCGAGCTGCGAGCAAGGTGAAAATTCTATGGCGGACTTTACCCTGGCACCCAGGCGCCCATTTCTCCAGGGCATATCCCTGCCCATTTTGAGCTCGTAGGTTTGGCCGAAATCAATTATACCAAGCTGGCATCCCGACCATCGACGCGAGGGACATTGCTATGTACTTTAGAGGGCCCGCAGCAGTAGCCTTCCACCAACTGTTTACTCTTGAAACTGAGACGTCGAAGTTCGTGTTACCTAATCGAGCCTCGCACCCAGTGCCGGATTAACCATTAAGCAGACTAAGCACGTGCTTAGGGCACCAGGGCCAAAGGGGGCACCACAAAGTTTGGAAAAGGGTGAAAAGAAAAAAAACGAATAAAGATTTGTACTTAGCCAACTTAGTACTTATTAAAGATAGCCACCAACAAGGTGCTAATTCCCAATTATCAGAAAGTGAAAGGTACTCAAAGACTTGTCAGACACTCATTGATGCTTATCCAGATGACATGAATAACACTTTGTCTATAGAGCTTCAGCAGTTCCATTCATATGTTCTTCATAAGTTTAAAACAACCAAGAAAACATCTTTCACTTACATGGAACTTTACAACACAATTACAGAAGACAAACTAGAGAGTGCCTTTCCAAATGTTGAAATTGCCTTAAGAATATTTTTAACATTAATGGTCACCAACTGCACAACAGAGAGTTCTTTCTCACAACTAAAACGTGTAAAAAACAAATAGATTGACTCGTAGTCCGAATGAAGGTGTACATGCATGTACGCTCAAAATAGCCTCAGATACCATCTCCTGCGATCTACATTTTAAAAAATTTCTAGGAGAGGACCCCAATACCCCCCGCCTGTTTATCACCACCCTCCTTGAAATCCTACATAAATTTTTGTACTGCTGCAACCTGCATTGTATATTTGGTCAGACAGGTCAACAACTAAAATGGACTGGGTCAGTGCGGAAAGGAGGGAGGCACCAAGATTGGTCAGTGTTTAGGGCACCAGTGAGCCTTAATCCGCCCCTGCTCGCACCCGATATCGACCGTCGAGACATTCTTGACCTATTGTAATCAACGCGCGTGTTGTACCCTATTTGATATAGAGGTAGTGAATTTGATTTATAAATGTATGTATATATATATATATATATATATATATATATATATGCTCCCAGGTCGAACTATCTAAAAAAGAGTAATGAAATTCGTAGTGCAATCGTTAATGCCAACAATGAAAACGCTTCAATGCAAAAAACTCAACCTTTAGTTGCGCTGATTATTTCATTATTGATAGTAAATATACCCATTACTGCGAGTTAGAGTATATATACGGAAGGATGGTAACATTACCTAACTATGGAAGAAGTAATTGATTAACAATTATGTAGCTAAGGTTCTGCCATGTGACTGTCTTTAGGTGCAAATCAACAAATAAAACAAGCTTTCGCGTGTCATCTCGACAGTTTTAGTGTTCTGTGTTTGTTCACTGCTTCACTGACGCCACGGTCTCACAAACTCACATGCTCTCTGATAGATTCATCTATAAGTCTTGTTAACATATGCCTGCTGTCTGGTTAGCCAACCATCACTGATGCACAAATAAAGACTTCCACGCACTGCTCTTCGCTGCGTCCCTAATTTCAAATGGATAAACGCTAACGTCCACTACATGCCTTGGCTCGTCATACAAGGCCAGTGAGCTAGACCAATGACGGTATATTAAGCCTAAGGTAGCATCGTAAACCTAGATGTACATGGAAGCAGCGTAACGATAGTTCCATATTATTCCAAGTAAATTTGTCAATATATATATATATATGTATATTCCTATTTCACTGAGGTCCACTCAGGTCCATTCCTATTCACTGAGGTCCATTCCAGTGAGGTCTATACTGATTATTATCTAAATCAATGTTATATAAATCTATGCGGGCACTGGTTAACTCGACCCACCCGCAAACTCGGCTCGATACTCGGGTCGAGTTTGCCGGCGAGGCGAGTTGACTATACGGACGATCTATGCTAGGATAACTCCTCTTCATTTTAAATGCCTAATTTTCGCAAAATATTCTTCTTCTCGGAAGATATTACGTATGCGCGAGCACTGTTTCAGGCGTGCAGTACGGACTGAAGAAAACTTGCTGGGAGAGAGAGGGGTGGGAGGCAGCGACAGGAAAGATAGCTGAGGGCGGTAGCAGAAGAAGGAGGCTGAGTGAGAGACAAGGGAGGCAAGGGGAGGGACGGCAGAGGATGAAGTAAGAGTTGTGAACCCTACAGGCTAGGGCGCTCTCCCAATTATGAACACAGGTCTACTGATAACAATTTATTACATAAATCTATGAGGAGATTTCCCCATCACTATATTAAATTCATATTCATTACATAATATAACTTCTCTAGTGAGATATTGCGCGATATATGCGCAAGACCTTACATGCAAGGCCTTCTTCCTATATCGTATCTATAGTCAGCGAGTATCTATCCCTAGAGGTTAACTATCTATCTATCTAGTGATGCTATCTTCTATCTTTCTCACTATCCTTACTCTTATGCTATCTATCTATCGTATTCCCTAATATTCTGTAGGCGACGCTCGTAATCCATGAGTCGCTCATCCCTATCTATCTTGCCCTGTTCGTCAATATATCAATTCTCCTTACTACTTATCTCCTATGTCTCCTCTTATTTCTTTATATCTTCCCTTATCCACTTCATCTTCATTCTTTCTTCATTCCTTCCTTCTCTACTCTATTCATAATTTTTCCTAACTTCTGGCAGCGTCAAACAGTGGCTCTTCATTCTATTCTTCTCTTTCTTCACTCCTATCTAAACTCTCCTCATCTTTCCACCTTCGAATCTCTCCTATACTCTTATTCCTATCTCTAAACTTCTTCTATTCTATGCTATCTATCTAGTATTTTTCTCGATCTTATCCTATCTAGTAATCGCTATTACCATGTCTCTTATTCCTTCCTCTAATCTCCTCTCTCTATCCCCTTCTCTCGTATCTCTTATCTCTCCTCTACTCCCCCCCCCTCGTCTCTCCTTAACTCTGCCTTCTCACTCTATCCTATCTACTTCGCCTTCTAATTCCTCTCAATCCTCTCCTTCTTCTCTTCATATTCTCTTCTCATCTGTCATCTTCTTATCTACTCTCTCTCTACTCTCTATTCTTCCACTCTCCGTTCATCCCTATCTGCTCATTCTCATGTCTACTGCTCTCTATCTCTATCTATCTATCATAGCTAGCCTAATCCTATCTATCAATTATCTATTGATTCCATTCTATCTTATCTATGCTATCTACTATCTGATGCTATCTGATCTTATTCTATCTATCTATACTATCTTATCTATCTATCTGATCTATGCTAATCTATCATATATCTGTTCATTCTCTCTCTTCTGCGTCACGTTTTCTTCTCTCTTCCTATTGATCCCTATTTTCTAATCTATCGGGATCTATCTATCCTGATCTATCCTATCTATCTATACTAATCTACTCCTATCCTATCTTCATCTATCTATCTATCCTATCTATCTATCTATCTATCTATCTTTATCTTGATCTAAGTCTATCTATCTATTTTATCTTCTGCGATCTATTCTATAATAGCTATTGCCTCTGCTTATTCACTTATCCTATCTAATCTATCTGCTATCTCAATCTATCATATTCTACTCTGTCTATGCTACTCCTATTTCTATCTATCATATCTATGCTGACATCGTCATCTAATTCCTATCCACCTATCACGTATCTATCTAGGTCTCATCCTATACCTTCTATCCTATCAGTAATTGATCTCATCTATCGTTATCTATCTTATCTATCGTAGTCTGATGCTATCTATCTATCTATCTTAACTTATCTGTTTAGTCTATCTATCTATACTAATCTATCTAATCTATCCCTTATCGATTATTTACTTACTTCTCATCCTCTTATATTCACTATCTTCATTCTCATGAACTATTCTAATCCCCTCTCACTTCGCTCTTCTGCGTATCATTATTATCTTTAATTTGTTCTTTCGTAATACCTCTTTAACCTTCCCTCTATTTCCTCCCGTTACTCCTCTCTCATCGCGTTCGCTTCGCCGTCTCCCGAAATGCACGATGTGGTTTTCTACCAGGTGCGGTCGCTCAGGGTGCTACTGCGAAGACGGGGAGAGACTCAGTGTGGTACGTTCTGGGCACTCCTGCGAAGCGGAAAGTAGTGGGATGTCATAGTCAGGTCAGTGGGGATATCATCATGCTAACGTCTCTTCACTCGTTCTCCAAAATATGACATCTCCGCCGTCCATCTATCGGTAGAAATTAATTCATCGATGTGCGATCATGCTTACGTTTCATGTGTGTCACTCTTTCCGCGTGCGAAAATTGCGACATTATTAAAACAATTACTATCTCTCTGAATCTCTTCTAATCTATCCTTTCTCTCATCACTTCCCCGAAAACGTATTAACGTCTCTAGTACTTCTGCCAATCTTTAATCTTATAACTGTTCATCTCTCATCTCTGCTATCTCCTCTCTCATCTATAACATAATAACTTTTACCGATAAGATTGTAAAGGTTTGGCGACCCGTAAAATTCCCGCATCCTTACATGTCTGCATTGTATGTGTATTTCAATATGAATCGTGACCCGGTCCACCTAGATACAGTGTTCCAGTATGAATTATTTCTACCGGATAAAAATGCGACGAGGGATGGTCATATTTAATCAAAGTCACTGGCTGACATTATGTTAAATAACATACATGCGACAGTGTTAGGATGAGAATTTCACGGCCCAACTCTTGTACCAATCTTATCCAGTAAATATTGTTTCTGCTATACCGGTACTGTATAGTAATTATATTTAATCTGCCTCTCACTTACTGTTAAATACGTTTTCAGAGTAATTATATAATACATTTAATACATGGCGTTTAGACGGTTACACACAAATAAATGTCTGCGCATATTAAACATGTGGAATGTGATTGCAAGTCGCATGCCTACATTATTGGAAGAGGGGGCACAGGGGGGGCGGTGGTGACGGGAAAGGTGATTACGGGAGACCGGGAGAGGGGGGGCGCTGGAGACGGGAGAGAAAGGGCCGGGGAGCGGGAAGGGGGAGAGCGGGAGTAGGGTGGCCAGTGGGTGGAAGTAAGGATTTTCAGATTCAAAAACAAAAACTATTATACATGCTGTATGTGTGAAAGCAAGAAAGAGAGAGCGAGAGGTGGTGTGCGTGCGTCGTGCGTGTGTATTGTGTGGCGTGCGTGGCGTGGCGTTCGCGTGCGTGTGTTGTGCGTGAAGAGAAATATTGGGCGAGTAGCATGAGAGAGAGAGCACGAGAGAGAGAGAGAGAGAGAGAGAGAGGGTGAGTCCAAAAAACGGAGAAGGAGAGGGTCATGCCGACAAAGGCGAGAGGAAGCTAACTATAATAGAAGGAATATGTGCTATTCCGTGCGTCGCCATCCCTCGTCGCTGTGCACTCCGTGTGGTCTGATGTACGTGCCTACGGTGGCATTTTTTCTGCGCGTTTGCTGCGCACTGCTGCGCGTTGTGGCACATCTTAGCGTTGCATTCCTCCCCCTCTCTGCCGGCCTCCCCCTAGTTCTCTCCTCTTCCCTTCTGCCGCCTCACAACTGGCAATCTTTGGATCCCTTCCCATCAGTAATCTGTCCCTCCCCTCTCAGCAGATAGTAATCCGGTCCCACGGCACGTCAGTGCACGGTTGAAAAGTTAGACCAGGCAAATGGCTTTGTTCTTAAGCCTCAATTTATTTTTCAGCGCCAAGAGCACAAAATATGATTATAGGGCTATAATACGACGTTTTTTACAGTCACAAAAAGCACAAGTGAGCACACAGAGAGAGCTAGAAACGGGAACGAGAGCGCAAGGAGAGAACGCGGGGTAATAGATGCGCACGCACAAGCAGCGATATGCAGCGTGAAGGAGTATATGAGTAGGGTACTAAACTCACATTTTGTGCTAACGATGGGGAGTTAAACAAGTTAGTTGACATGGAACTAGCTGTAATTTGGCTGAACAAACTTTTCGCCCGTACTAAACCTAGGGCCGTTGTCAAGAAACTATCGTTAAAAAGGTCAGATGCGTGGGCGAAATACTCATCACGAAAAGGGAGAGTAAGGAAGTGAGCAAAGGGGAAGAAACGGAGAAAGGCTTGGTATAGACATATATATAATATATATACTATATACTATAATACAATATATATATATTAATGCGCTCGAGAAAAGAGAAAAAGTATATTGCGAGAGAGAAGAGTTGAGCAGAAGTGTGTGTGAGAGGAGGAAGAGGAAGGAGAGAGAGAAGAGACAAAGAGAGAAGAAGAGACACAAACACAAAGGAATAACAAACAGACAAAACAGACACAATAGACCAGCAGAAAGAAAACAGAACCGAATCAAGCCCATATAAGTTCGATTTAAAGGTTCCAGAAAGAT